GGTGGCACATTCCAATCCCATAGGGATAGAAGCTTCTGGATTCAGAACTCTTCTGGATCTTGCTCAATGTATTTCTTCATCTGGCTGTTCATCTATATCCTTTATTACATCTTTTCTACTAAACAGCTAAATGAGTTCTGTGAGCCATTATAGCAAATTGTTAAACCCAAAAAGGAAGTCTAGGAAATTCTGATTCATAGCCAGTCAGAAGTACAGGTAACAACCTGGGGTATGAGATTGGTATAGGAGTGGGAGCAGTCTTGTAGGACTGAGTCCATAACCTATGGGATCTTACTCTAGCTCCAGGTAGATAATGTCAAAACTGAATTGGATTGTAGGATGTCTTGCTGGATTTGAAGAACTGATCAGTATCTGGTGTCAAAAGTATTCAGTGTAAGAGTAAAGGAAATTAGAGACTCTTTTCCTAAACAGGGTACTATAATCCAGAGTATAGCTTGAGGCATCAAATAATTCACCCTTCTTTTATCCTATTATCTTTTCAGTCTTATCTGTTCTTCCACACCCAGGTCAGAAATAGTCTCTTTTCCAGAGTGCCTCAGGAGCTCACTTGGTTAAGCATCTGAATCTTGATTTTGACTTAGGTCATGATATCATGGGTTAATGAATTCTTTGTAAAAGCACAGAGCCTGCTTGAAATTCTCTCTCTGCCCCTCTCCCACTCATGTGCATACTCTCTCTCAAAATAAATAAATAAACCTTTTTTGAAATGTTTTATTTATTTCTGAGAGAGAAAGGCAGCATGAGAAGGGGAGGTTCAGAGAGAGAGGGAGACACAGAACCTGAAACAGGCTCCAGGCTCTGAGCTGGCTGTCAGCACAGAGCCCGGGGCGAGGCTCGAACCCACGAACCATGAGGTCATGACCTGAGCTGAAGTCAGACACTTAACTGACTGAGCCACCCAGGGGCCCCTAAAATAAACTATTATTTTTTAAATTTTTAATTAATTAATTAATTAATTTATGTTTTATTTATTTCTGAAAGAGAGAGAGAGAAGACAGCGTGAGGAGGGGGGTGTCAGAGAGAGAGAGAGAGAGAGAGAGAGAGAGAGAAAGATACAGAATCTGAAACAGGCCCAAGGCTCTCAGCTAGCTGTCAGCACAGAGCCTGACATGGGACTCAACCCACGAACTGTGAGATCATGACCTGAGCTGAAGTCGGACACTTAACAGACTGAGCCACCCAGGCGCCCGTAAAATAAACTTTAAAAAAAAGAAATATTCTAGTATCCTAACAAGTTTCACCTGTGATTATAATTTAAATTTGTATAACACTAGAGTTTTGCATTGTTTAACTGGTTTTGCTGGTTCCATCCCTGTGGTGTCATTTAATATGTTTCCTTACTTTCTGTTGTAAAAACTGGAAAAGAATATGAACATACCAGGGGCCTGAGCTATGCTAAAATAACTTCCTTGTCCCAACAGAGATTCTATTTTAAAATTCACTATTTTACACTTGTATTCTGTGTTCATCAACAAAAGGACCATGCCTTCTCAAGCATATAATGGAATGCTTTTAGACCATCATTGAATTTATATACAAATAGATAAAACTTCAGTTTTGTCTCATTTTTCTTTATTTTAACAGAATAGAGCATGTACTATGGAGTAGGCATTGCAGTGTTTTAAAATAAAACTTATTTGCCTCTCACATTATTATCTTAATCCTAAAAAAAGTATTATCAACCATTATTTTGCTAAAACCAAGGTGCAAGTAAGTGTTTAAAGTTGTACAAGTATTAAGTGGAATTGAACTAAATGAATTTGAATTTGTATGTCACTTCTCTTCAAGTCTTTTTTGGATGAGATTTTATTCAGAGAACCTTTTGTGAAATACTTAGCACACACAGTGTAATTGACTTTTTATGCCAGCTGAGAAAGAACAACAGGGGACTCATATCTAAATTAAAATACATCTCACCCAGGTCTATAAAAGAACCAACAGTGCATTCAAGTGTGAGGAACTCCGTTTTGGAAAGAAAAGTTGAGAAACTCACTGAGATTCCTGAAAGCAAGGATGCTTCAGCCGGGTGAAATAGATACTGCCCCCAAGGAAGAAAATTATTTTATCACCTGTAGATTGCCAGGGCCGTGATAACAAAATATCATAAATCAGGTGGCTAAAACAACACAGTGTTAGTTTCATGCTTCTGGAGGCTAGAAGTCTGAAATCACTGTGTTCGCAGGGCTATGCTCCTCTGAAGCCTTTAGGAGAGGCTCCTTCCTTGCCTCTTCAAGCTTCTGCTAGTCCCGGGCATTCCTTAGCATGTGACAGCATTACTCCAATATCTGCCTCTATCTTCACATGGCCAGAGCTCTTCTGTCCCCCTTCTCTTCTTAAAAGGACACCAGTCATAGAGGTGAGGACGCACCCTAATCCACTATGACCTCATCTTACTTTCATTATATTTTCAAAGACCTTATTTCCAAATAAAGTCACATTCACAGGTACCGATGGTTATGATTCAACATACCTTTTTGGGGAATGCAATTCAATGCATAATATCACCCTCCTTTGAATGTATGCAAATTAGGACAGCCTAGACTCTTGAATTCTCACCTCGCATAACTTAGTATATACCCGGGGCAACTGGGAGAATCACTATTTACAAGGTCGGATTGTAGAATTTATAAATATACTAATTAGCTTCTGCAAAAAAGCCATCTGTTTTCACATTGGAAATAATAAAAGGTGAAATGACACAAATTATTCAGTAGGTCTGAACTGTATTTCTTTGATCTATGAAGGCAGATTTAGCTGTTTTATCCAGACACTGTTCTCCTATGGAAATGCAAGGCAAAAAGAAAGGAAATGACACAAATAAGGGCAATCTAGGACTCGCAACATTTTGACTTTATGATGGTGTGAAGGCAACATGTATTCAGTAGAAACCATTCTTCCAATTTTGAATTTTGGGGGGCCTGGGTGGCTTAGTCGGTCAAGCGTCCGACTTTCGCTTAGGTCATGATCTCGCAGTTCGTGGGTTTGAGCCCCGCGTCGGGCTCTGTGCTGACTGCCAGCTCAGAGCCTGGAGCCTGTTTCGGTCTGTGACTCCCTCTCTCTCTGACCCTCCCCTGCTCACGCTGTCTCTCTCTCTCTCTCTCCTAGAAATAAATAAAAATATTAAAAAAAAAAAAAAGAAATTTTGAATTTTGATCTTTTCCTGAGTCAGTGATACCCATACTGTTCCATGATGCTGGGCAGCGAGCTGTAACTCCAAGTCCACCACACGATCATGAGGGTGAACACTCAATACATTTAACAAACATTCTGTACCCATATACAACCATTCAGTTATTTGCTTTCACTACAGTGTCCAATGAATTACATGAGATAATCAACGCTTTATTATAAAATAGGCTTTGTATAGGTGATTTTGCCCAGTGGTAAGCTAATGTAACTATTCTGAGCACATTTCATACTGGCTAGGATAAGCTATGGTGTTTGGTTGGTTAGATGCATTAAATGCATTTTTGACTTAAGATATTTTTAACTTATTATGAGTTTACCTGGGTGTAACCCATGATAAGTTGAGAAATATCTATACTTTGATTAGGGGAAGTCAAGCTTTTGTTTGTGTATGTGGTTTCTTGGATAATTCTTTTTTTTTTTTTTTTTTCAAAAACACTTCTTTCCATTCAAGTTTAGTTCTCTTTACTGCCCCAACACATTGTAGGGAGGAAAAATAAATTTCCCTCCACCCTTCTTAGTTCTTCTCTGAGATGCCTACAATCAAAGATTGCAACAAGTATTTGAATTTTGATTCAATAATCATTAACTGAACATTAACATGTATACCTCATGTATACATGAGAGATACCCAGGAAAAAACGAATAACTGCCCAAGGTGGCTTAGAATTCACGATTCAATACCATTTTAATAGGGAAAGTGGAGGGAGGGGTATGGGCCTCTTAGAGGACAGTAAAGTGATCTTAGGAAAGATGAATGAGTCCTGAGAAGAATAGATGGGATATATGACACTTTATGACAAAGTTTGTCTGGGTCTCCTCTCCTGTAATAGGAGGCAATTCTCTCTGGTTGATGAAACTCTTTGGATGGGTACAATTGAGTACCTTGTGGAGTACCTGTCTTTAGGAAGATAAGGGAAGTTCAGAGAAAACCTCTCCTTGTATATGCCATTTTTGAAGTGACTACTTGTCAGAGAAACCAAAATACCAAGCTGGCATAATTGGGGTGTCATATTCTGCTGCCTTCCAGTATCTGAAAACTCCTAACTCTTATCTGAAAACTCAACTCTTACCTGAAAACTCAAGTCAACAGGATCCTTGGTCAGGGCATTCTCCAATTTCCTTCTGCCTTAAGCTCTTTCTTTGTCTTTGGTAGTGTGGGGATCCACCCAGACCCTCAGTGTTGGTATGAAGATGGTTTTAAATCGAAGACATTTGAGGGGCACCTGGGTGGCTTAGTCGGTTGGGTGGCTGACTTCAGCTCAGGTCATGATCTCATGGTTTGTGGTTTCGAGCCCTGCATTAGGCTCTATGTCTCCCTCTCTCTCTGACCCTCCCCTCTCATGCTGTCTCTCTCACTCAGAAATAAATTAAAAAAAGAAAAAAAAACATTTAAATTGAAGACATTTGAGATGCAATAGATGGGAAGAGAAGTCTTTTTGGGACTTCTCTTATCTGACTAAAGGGAAGATCTTTAGAGCATAAGGCTGTAGCAAGTCCTCTTTCTGGGGCAGTTCAACAGCAAAGAGTGGGACCACTGAACTGAGGTAAGAAATTTCAAATAAACAATATTATTACTTTTTGTTTCCCTAAAAGCTCATTTGTCTTTTTCCCATGAAGCCCATCTGTTCTTCATACAGAAGACTTGTCTCTCTGCTCCCTTTCCTCTCTGAATTAAGTGTATAAATCCCTATCTCTAGCTATTGGGGGGGGGGCAGCCGTTATTGCTTTTGTGGATTTATATGTATATGAATGAATATATTTTGTCTTTTCTCTTGTTAATTTGTTTGTAGTTAACTGGAGGTCCCCAACCATTTGAACCCGTGGTGCCGGGAGCCGCACTGGCCTCTCTGGATGGCAGTCACAGAAAGGATATGGTAGCGTTTACACAGCTCCTGCCATGAGAAATGAAAACTGGTATCTCCTTCTGCTACTACTGGCTCATGTTGGAAATGAGGCTGCTGGTATTGATCAGGCCTCACAATATTCCAGATCAGACTAATATTCCCCACACAGATTGCTCATAAGGAAAGGTGTGTCCCTGCCTTTTCCAAAGAGATTTCCGATGAAAACATTGTAAATAAAAGGCTCTTCCTATGGGCCTCGCAGATCCAAGACAACATAACAAAAGAGGCTTGAGACAAAGAGCCTAATTTAGAGTTAAGGGCAGATATCCACCCACACCCATTTGTTTCTGCTTGGAGCATTTTCTGGCCTTGTATATGCTGACTACTCCCTGTGAAGGAACCTATTGAGGAACTACTTTTGTCATTATGGGAGCAAAGGTGTTTCCTGGAAGACCTGTTTTTCTTCATACTTCCACCTTAAAAGAAGTAACTTCACCCTTTTTATGCTAAAAACTTTGTCTAAAGATACCTTCTTCCCCATAGGATAAGCATCTCAATCACTATTGATAAAGGCTATGCAGGAGTCTTCTAGATTTCCAGGAAATTCTTACATATCAAAGAAGTTTGTCATCTGAAATCATTGTCTAAGGCAAATGCCACTTCTGTGCCATCCCCCAAATACTTATAAAGTTGAGCCCCAGTCAGAGCAGAGATGCCTGCCTAGTGATCAGAAAGAATCTCCGGGGCTCTCTCACTCTCTCACGACACCGTCCATCCTTCAGGGACCCCCGGACCTGCCGGATCCGGTCTCCGACACCGTGGTAGAGAGAGAGTCCTCCCCTGACAGTATTGAGAACAGATCAAATTCCACTACAAGACTTTCAAAAGAAATACGGAAGCCAGTTGGGGAGGAGGAACAAGGAAAATGAGACATGATGGCAGGAGATTCCTGCTTAATAAAAAAATGTGAAAGAAATTCAGAGAGTGAAAATCATAGGAAGAGAAAAAGAGTAAAAGGACTTTGCTTTACAAGTTCTGGCTTCTGGGTCTTGAACCACAAGGATAAAATGAAAACTCTACCCTGTTCCTCAGAGTTGGGACACATTCTAACTTATTGACATGTTAAAGAGCTGTTGATTGATCTTTCTCCACCACCCTTCTTCCCCTTCTTCCAAGATCATTAAAGAGTTAACACTCACACTGTCTACTTAGCCACTGTGCAGCTCACAATATTCCTTTCAGCTTATTCACAGCATTTCTAAATTTCCCTGACTGGAAGTCCTTTTCCTGTGGCACACCTATTATTAATACAATGGAAAGAATTGCTTTTACAAAATGTCCAAGTATAATTGATTACACTTGGCTTGTTTCCATTTAAAAAAAAGGCAATTGACTTTCACTTTTCTTCCAACTGTATTCTTGCATAAATAAAGCTTTTCTTGGTAGCCCGAATACAATGCAGAGCATGATGCATATTTTCTATGGTTAGTGAACACTTTGTTTCAGTTGCTTTCAAGGCAAATATATTTGGCTCTGACTTCTGGAAAGTTAAGCAATTAATAAAAGTGTCACATAAATGATATCAAAATCAAACCTCCATTGAATACAAATGGACAAAACCAGAGTGCCTTTGATATTTAACAGAATCAAACTCAAAGGCCACAAAGTGACGACCACTGTTATTAGCAATAATTAACTCTGACATTGTGATTAACCTATTTCACAAGTGTCATAAAAATCTTCATATATGATAAGTATTTTTACAATTATATTAGTCATTAATTTGAGGCTTCTTCTCCCCCTGTCCTGCTTCTACTCCTTCCTTCTCCCTTCCTCTTTGGATTTTTTGTTTTTTGTTTTTTTTAATGTATATTTATTTCTTGAAAGAGAGAGAGACAGGGAGAGACAGAGCATGAGTGGGGAGGGGCAGAGAAAGAGGGAGACAGAATCTGAAGCAGGCTCTGCACTCTGAGCACAGAGCCCAATGCGGGAATTGAACCCATGAACCGTGAGATCATGACCTGACCTGAAGTCAGACACTTAACCTACTGAGCCAGCCAGGTGCCCCGGCTTTCTTAATTCCATCAAAAATTTCTCGCAATTTTCAGAGACCATTGCAAAATGAAAATGTGGGCCCCCTTGTTCAAAGAGCAGGCAAAAAATGTGCCATTAAAGGTACTGAAACATAATGTTTGACTTTAAAAATATTTTTTACTTATGTAATGAGATAATAATGACAGATGAATAACAATATAAACTTTAAAATTGCAAAAAATGTATTTTACTTCACAACAGATCATTGCTCATATTAATAAGAATATAATTTTATTATATAAAATGGGCTTTCAGGAAGAGACGATGCACAAATGACCCCACAGGGAGACCCGGGCATAGACACTCTGGCTGAAGTGCAACAGAGATGCTGTTCATGCACGTTTCTGTCATTGTCTTCCCTACTTTGGGAACCAAGTCCTGGGGTCACCTCCACAGGACTGGCTCCCTCAGAGAAGGGAGTGCTGAGTCTCTGTAATTCACTTAGCGATAAGGCCCAGTTCCCCCAGTCCTGGTCTTTCATCCTACGTAGGCATATACATTCTCTTGCTTGCAAAGTTGGGCCTCAGATCAGGATCCTCCTTAAGAAAAACGCAAGGAGAATGCCAGAAGAGTAAGAAGGGAAGCTGCCTTGGTATGCCCCAGCCAGGACTCTCTCATGCTGTAAGCAGCTAGGGAGCATTCAGGCAGTAGACAGAGTAAGGGAGATCTATGACCATAAAAAGGGCTCACGGTTCTTGCCGCTGCCCCTACAGCATCTGCAGTAATTTCATTTACTAGGCTCTACTAGAGAATATGGGATCTGCGGTCATAATACATTTCCAGAATGACAGTGGCAGAGTTAACACGATTAGGTCACAGAATGGCCCAAGTGGTGAAACACTACACTGGCTATGCGAGGATGGGGTCATATCCCAGCAGGTCTATGGAGCATAAGTTACATGAATAGGTGATCCATAACTCCTGCCACTTATCTCTATAGCTCTGATTCCTCTCCTTAGATCATCCCTATGACCTCATGGAAGGGAGGATTCCCTATGACCAATTGGCAGAAAACAAAAAGACAAACCTTGTTCTGGTTCACAGATGAGTAAGCTCAATATATTCACAGAAGCTAAAAATGGGTATCTGTCAACTATAGCCTCACACATAGGTGGCCCTTATGTACAGTAGTGAGGGAAATCCTCTAGCAATACACTTGATAATACACTCTTTTGGGAAGAAGTAGCCTGACATAAGGATATATATGGATTCTAGGGAAATAGAAAGTTGCTTGATTTGTTGGTCAGGGATCTATACAGATGGAGTTGGGATTATTGGAGACTAAGGGATCAGAGAAAGAGGCATGTGATAGAACCTACTGGAGTGGGCACTAAGTATACAGACTTTTATGTCCCAGAGAGCATCCACAACAAATGAAGCACTTAAAACTAGGAGGATAGTATGAGTTAGACTTGAGTATGAGTAGATTTGAGCCATACTTGGTTCTTGGTCACTCCTGCTCCTGTTCAATGTGCTCAGGAATAGAGGAGCCATGGTGCTAAGAGGGGAGGTTGTCATTGGTCCCATAACCTAGGCTTCCTTTCACCAAGGCTAATGTAGCTACTGCAGTCAGTGAACATTTGATCTGTAAGCATTAGTGATCAACACAGAATGCCTAGTGCCTACCAATACATGAGTTTCTTTGAAGAGACCAAGTACTCACTTGATAGCAAATTGATTACATTTGACTCCCACCCCTCAAGAGGGAACAGTGTTTTATCCTTACAAGGACAGATATGTGTTTTGGACATGGGTTTGCATTCCTTTACTCCCTAGCATCATATGTGAGACCTCACAGAGCACCTGATCTAATAACATAACCCTCAATGAGATAGCCTTGGATCAAGGATAAAGTATTGGGTAAAGGACCACAGGACCCATGACTCAATCATGTACCATAGCATGACAGCTTCTTCAAGTCTCAGCTGAGGCATCTGCAATTTTGGAATGCTATTTTTCAAAGTGTGATTGATATAGTCTTCCAACTAATGGCCCTTATATGGTATTGTGTCACAGACAATTAAAATAAAATGATCTGAGAACCAAAGAGTGGAAGTAGCAGTGGTCCTTTATGCCATCACTCTCAGTGACTATTTTGGCTAAAACGTACTTCTTGTCCATAAAATTTTAGGTACTGAGGGTTTAGAATTCCTGGTTCCCAGAGTGGGGATTTTTTTTTCCCAAGAGATACAGTGGGGTTCCTCTAAATATGAAGCTATTCTCCTCATCTAGTCATTTTTAGAGTCCTCATGCTGGTAGACCAGCAGACAAAAAACTATTCTTGTATTATCAGGGTAACTGAGTCTGACTATCATGAGGAAAGAGGTTATAAAGGGGACAAGAAGGCATATGTTTAGAATTTAAAGGATTCACTGACATAGCTTTTAGTGTTCCAGTTCCTGGTAATAATGGTGAATTAATAATTATAGTAGTGATGGTTTAGCATGGGAATGTAACCAGTTCATCTCTAAGGAATGAACGTCTGGCTTACCTACTGGGCAAGTAACCTAGACCAGCAGAAGTGCTGACTGAGAGTGGGGGGAATAAAGATAGGAGACTGTGAGAGTATGAGATAAAAGATATGGTTTACAAATTATGACCTGGTTTTCAAATTATGCAACTGTAACAGTAAGCAAAACCACAACCTCACTTTTGTCATCATTTTCTACCATTTTAAGGAGTATTTTATTTTTGAGCAATAACTGGCCATCATCTTAAAGAATCAGTGACCAAACGTAGTGAAATTAAAGTGGGGCATGAGTGAACCTGTACAAGGGGTGGCCCATAGCACATGGCGTCATTGTACTGTCATTCCCTCTTGGCACTAACTGTTCTCGTACAGCTTCTTTTTTTTATGTTTATTTATTTTGAGAGAGAGAGAAAGAAGGCACAGTGGGGGAGGGGCAGAGAGAGAATCCCAAGCAGGCTCTACATTTAGCACA